TACCTTGAAGTGTAAACTTGTTTAATAAACCATATCTTTCATTTTCGATTTTTAATTCACGTAGTCCGGGAACTTTCCGGACAAACTGTGTATCCTTGAAGTTGAGTCGTGTTCCACGTGTGAATCGTGGAGTTTCTTTGAAGTCGCAGGAGGAAACGAGAATCTGACGGAGGTATTCCATAGCTGTCGAAGTATGTGGCGTGTCCGTTTCCATCGAGGAAAAAAAGCACTCCAGTAGGTTCCGGGTCGACTGTGATCATCTGTGTTAGCAACGATTGCTGTTCACCTCGTCCACACCCAGAGCAATTTGTTGGTTGGATAAATTTCCGTGTGTTTAGATATTTGCAGTTGTTGCAAGGCTTGTAATATTTCTTTTGTATTCATTTTTTTGATACAAATAGTCGCAAGAATGCGGAATGAATTGGATGTATCTCTCTTGTACCTCTGTTTGTACAGCGACGTTTTTGAGGCAAGACGTTTTCAGTGGACAACGTTCGATTTCACTGCACGTATCTTCTTCTGTTAGTTGTTCTTTCTCTTCTTCTTCGTCTGTTTTAATGTCGATATATAAAGCTGATTGTAGCATGCTGATCTTGTTGCTAACAAAGTCGCTTTCGGGTTCTTCTTCTTCTTTAATTACAACGCTGTTTAGGTTTAACCAGTGTTTTAATCAAAAGACGTTCCGTAGAGCGCAAGTACTAACTGTTGGATGCTCGAACTCCATGATATAAACATTGTGATATGTTCTCGTCGCTTTCCGAGATGGATTTGAACGATGGAGAGAGGACTTCCAGATTATATATAATTCTAGATAGAAGCTTTTGTAAGAAATCCGCTTTTTCCTTGCCTCTGATATATTGTAGATGACGGAGGCGTATTTTGTGACTTCTCGAAAACGTCTCATGAGACATTTGAGATTGGTTTCTCCGTCAAACCACTCGATGCCGTGATAAATTCGCGAAAGCCAGTTGTTGCATCGATTTGATTTTTGCGGTAATTTGGTGAACGAGAACGGAGGCATTAAGATCCAGTTTCCGAAAATTTGACGGTCTACCGCAAAAAACGCTATTTCTTTTGGAATAAATTCACACACGATAGCGCGGAAGCCTTGCATTTCTATGATCACAGCACCTTTATACGTGTACTCAGCCATCGTGAAGACAAGACAAAGATACCTGAATCTAAAACGAAACTGAAATGTCTCCACGAAACGCTTGCGACAAAAGGCGTAGTAAAACATAAAGTGAGAAAAATATTTTGGTTTTCACGCATATGCAGAGCGGGAATATGATCATCTGTTATAATCTACAATGATTTGGCGCGAGAAATCAATTTCCAAAACACTGTCGAATTCCGCATAAACAAGACAATTAATAGTCGTTTCGAGAGCTTTTTCGAACCGTGCTTCACGAGATTCCAATGTTCGACGCAATTGACCGATAAATCGGAGATGAGATCAAAATCAAAGAGTGTGTATCGTGAGCATAATCATTTCTGCTTATAGTATTGCCTTTGTTCAAAAAATAGATACTCGTCCCCGAGAGAAGAGTATAAAAGCTTCGATGTAGAGAAGGGCATTCTAGTAAGGATTTACATTTCATCGACGTAAAGCAACAGAAAATTTATATTAAAGTTTTTAAAATTAAATGGATTAAACCGACTATCGCCGTTAAACGCTTTATTTTCGACGAAACCGATTATCATTTGCTTTGGTAGTTGACCAAATATAGCGATGTCAATTGATTTTCCCATCAGTCCTCTATTGATTACACAGCCACACAAAAAAAAAAAAAATTTCTTTGGCCTGAGAATCAGACCATGTTTATTATATGTTTTTGGAGTCGCTGAATCTGAATCCGAGGTCCATTAAACCCCATCGGGTCGGGGTTACGCCATAACCTCAAAAAACACCATAATCTGAGCTTGGAACCCATATAATCTTTTAATTCAAGCCATCAAACACAAAAACCAATTAGATAAACCCCATAACCCCAT